TTCCTTCCTTCCTTCCTTCCTTCCTTCCTTCCTTCCCCTTTTCTCTCTTCCTTCCTTCCTTTCTTTCTTCCCATTTTCTATTTTCCTTCCTTCCTTTCTTCCTCCCTCTTTCTCCCTTCCTTCTTTAGCCCTTGACTTATATACCGCTTCCCAGTGCTTTCCAGCCCCCTCTAAGCAGTTTATAGAGTCAGCCTCTTGCCCCCCAACAATCTGGGTCCTCATTTTACCGACCTCGGAAGGACGGAAGGCTAAGAGTCAACCTTGAGGCCGGTCAGGATCAAACTCCTGGCTGCGAGCAGTGAATTAGCCTCCAGTACAGCCTTCCAACCTGTGCCACCAGGGGCTCACCTTGACCGAATTTGACACGTTAAGCTCTCCTGTTCTGTCCATGTGCAGAGGTCGATGTGGGTCGGGACCAAGAATTTATGGTCAACACGCGAGGAGCCGGCGGCCAGGGACAGGTGGACGTGAAGATCAGTTCGCCTTCCCGGCGCCCCATTCCTTGCAAGATGGAGACTGGGGCCACCAACGATGTCCACTCGGTGAAGTACATGCCGCCCGAAGAGGGACAGTATAAGGTGGACGTCACCTATGATGGGAATCCTGTGCCTGGAAGCCCCTTTGCTGTTGAGGCCGTGATGCCCCCAGACCCAACCAAGGTCAGCTCCGGCCGGGTGCTCAGCGCGGCAGGATCTCAGGGAGGGAGCGGGTGAGATTGCCTTGGGGTGGGGTGGGAACTGGGTTAGGATTCCCAGGCCCTCCTGTCGTTTCTTGCTTTTGAAAGGTTAACTTTCTTCAATTTTTAAGGGAAGAGGTTAAAAATGATCAGGGGTTCATAAGGCAAGAAAAAGAGAAAAAGAAGACAAGGGGGAAGGAACAAAGGAGGTGGAAGGAAAGAAGGAGAGACAAAGAAAGAGAAAAGAAAGAGAAAAGGGATACAGAGAAAGAGAAGGAGGAAAGAAAGAAAGGGAGAAAGAAAGAAAAAAAGAAAGAGAAAGGAGATACAGAAAAAGAAGGAAAGGAAGAGAAAGAAAGAGAAAGAAAGAAAAATGAAAGAAAAGAGAGAGAGAGAGAGAGGGAAAGGACACAGAGAAAAAGAGATGGAGAGAGAGAGAGAATGAAAAAAGAAGGAAAGAGAAAGAAAAAGAAAAAAGAAAAGCGAGAAAGGACACAAAGAGATGAGAGAGAGAGAGAGAGAGAGAGAAAGAAAGAAAGAAAGAAAGAAAGAAAGAAAGAAAGAAAGAAAGA